TGTAAAATTATGCAATTTTCAACTTGTGTCGCATGTAACTCAAAAAGGATTTGACCTAGAGTCATTAAACATGACAGGATTGTTGATCAGCATGTGTAGTTGTGCACCTTGGTATTTTCGTCTGCTTTTTTTTAGTATTTTTAGAGTTATTGTCCTTGACTTAGTAAAATTTTGCAATTTTCAACTTTAGTCGCATGTAACTCAAAATTAATTGACCTAGAGTCATTAAATTTTACAGAAATGTTGATCAGCATGTGTAATTGTGCACCTGGGTATTTTTGTCTGGTTATTTTTAGTATTTTTAGAGTTATTGTCCTTGACTTAGTTAAATTTTGCAATTTTCAACTTGTGTCGCATGTAACTCAAAAAATGATTTGACCTAGGGTCATGAAACTTTACAGAAATGTTGATCAGCATGTGTAGTTGTGCACCTGGGTATTTTCGTATGGATATTTTTAGCATTTTTACAGTTATTGCCCTTGACTTAGTCAAATTTTGCAATTTTCAACTTGTGTCGCATGTAACTCAAAAATGATTTGACCTAGAATCATGAAGCTTTACAGGAATATTGATCAGCATTTGTAGCTGTGCACCGGGGTATTTTCGTCTGGATATCTTTAATTTTTTGAGTTATTGCCCTTGACTAAGTAAAATTTTGCAATTTTCACATTGTGTCGCATGTAACTCAAAATTGATTTGACCTAGAGTCATGTTTAGCGCGGAGGAAGGTTGTCTAGTACTGGTGTAACTCTCCAGGAACGATGGTTAGGAAACTACCCGCCTATATGACTGAAATACTGTTGGAAAAAGGCGTAAAATGAAACAAACAAACAAACAAACAAAACCTAGAGTCATGAAACTTTACAGGAATGTTGATCAGCATGTGTACTTGTGCACCTGGGTATTTTCGTCTGGATAGTTTTAGTATTTTTGGAGTTATTGCCCTTGACTTTGTAAAATTATGCAATTTTCAACTTGTGTCGCATGTAACTCATAAAGGATTTGACCTAGAGTCATTAAACTTTACAGGATTGTTGATCAGCATGTGTTATTGTGCACCTGGGTATTTTCGTCTGGTTATTTTTGGTATTTTAGAGTTATTGTCCTTGACTTAGTAAAATTTTGCAATTTTCAACTTGTGTCGCATATAGCTCAAAAATGATTTGACCTAGAGTCATGAAACTTTACAGAAATGTTGATCAGCATGTGTAGTTGTGCACCTTGGTATTTTCTTATGGATATTTTTAGTATTTTTAGAGTTATTGCCTTTGACTTAGTAACATTTTGCAATTAACAACTTGTATCGCATGTAACTCAAAAAGAAAAGTATTTGAACGAGAGTCATGAAACTTTACAGGAATATTGATCAGCATGTGAAGTTGCGCACCTGGGTATTTTCGCCTGGATTTAGCTATTGCCCTCCATTAGTAAAATTTTGCAATTTTCAAATTGTGTTGCATGTAACTAAAAAAGGATTTGACCTAGAGTCATGAAACTTTACAGGAATGTTGATCAGCATGTGTAGCTGTGCACCTGTGTATTTTCGTCTGGATATTTTTAGTATTTTCAGAGTTATTGCCATTGACTTAGTAAAATTTTGCAATTTTCAACTTGTGTTGCACGTAACTCAAACAAGAATTGACCTAGGGTCATGAAACTTTACAGGAATATTGATCAACATGTGTAGTTGTGCACCTGGGTATTTTCATATGGATAATTTTAGTTTTTTAGAGTTATTGCCCTTGACTTTTTAAAACTTTGTAATTTTCAACTTGTGTCGCATGAATCTCAAAAAAAGATTTGACCTAGAGTCATTAAACTTTATAGGAATGTTGATCAGCATGTGTAGTTGTGCACCTATGTATTTTCGTCTGGATATTTTTAGTATTTTTGGAGTGATTGCCCTTGACTTTGTAAAATTATGCAATTTTCACATTGTGTCGCACGTAACTCAAAAAGGAATTAGGAATTGACCTAGAGTCATGAAACTTTACAGGAATGTTGATCAGCATGTGTAGTTGTGCACCTAGGTATTTTCGTCTGGATATTTTTAGTATTTGTAGAGTTATTGCCCTTGACTTAGTAAAATTTTGCAATTTTCACATTGTGTCGCATGTAACTCAAAAAGGAATTAGGAATTGACCTAGAGTCATGAAACTTCACAGGAATGTTGATCAGCATGTGTAGTTGTGCACCTAGGTATTTTCGTCTGGATATTTTTTTGTGTTTATGGAGTGATTGCCCTTGACTTTGTAAAATTTTGCAATTTTTACATTGTGTCGCATGTAACTCAAAAAGGATTTGACCTAGAGTCATGAAACTTTACAGGAATATTGATCAGCATGTGTAGTTGTGCACCTGGGTATTTTGTTTGGATTTTTTTAGTATTTTTGGAGTTATTGCCCTTGACTTAGTAAAATTTTGCAATTTTCAACTTGTGTTGCACGTAACTCAAAAAGGAATTGACCTAGAGTCATGAAACATTACAGGAATGTTGATCAGCATGTGTAGTTGTGCACCTTGTTATTTTCGTATGGATTATTTTAGTATTTACAGAAAACAATAACATAAGATAATTAAAATCGGAAACTTTTACATTATATTCTTTTAACAGGTAAATTACAAACTGTGAAATGGGAGTATAGTTAATCAAAAGGGCACCCGTTTCACAGTTTGTAATTTACCTGTTAAAAGAATATAATGTAAAAGTTTCCTATTTTAATTATCTTATGTAATTGTTTTCTGTGCTAGAAAATCTAGGTGGCGTGAGGGATGTTGCACTTATTCATTCTCCCTCATGTATAGACTCAATCAAACCGAGTCTGCAATTTTCATGTAATTTTTATTGTGATTAATTCTTCCGACGGATCACTTTCTTTCCAAATTCTTTTCAATCAATCAATAATTGTCTTTAATCGTATAAAGAAGAATGAATCTGCACGTATTAATACAATCGGCGCGTTATGAAAGCACGGACAGTGTCATCCCTAAAGGCCAAACACGTCAAACTTGAAAATGTTGCAGACTCACTTTGATTGACCCTGTTTATGAATGTCAAGTGCAAACTACCGTCTACGCCCCCTAGCACCGTCATAAGCAGAATTCAACATTTTAACATGAAATTGTGAACATTTGAATTTAGAAACATCCGCAAATGTATTCAAACGGCGGGTATCATGGAACCTTCAATGTGACACAGAAGTGCGATTCCATGAACTGTGGCATATTGTCCCAAGTAATAATCAAAGGGCTGCAAGCTCTGTGGCATTTTCTGATCTTTGCAATTTCAATTGTACTGTATATCTGTATGCATTTTCCTGTATAAGTTTATTTTTATCTACTATAATTCATGATGCAGCGACTGCGTTTGGATTTTGTACGATAACAGTTTGAGTTTGATACATACGGAATTTTGCATGACTAGAGTTGCATCAAAAATCATTTATTTCATTTAAAAAAAATCATTTTTTATGACAGCCACACTTTATCCTTGCATATCGTGTCTACTTCCTTAAAAAAGACACAACAAAGTTGATTATACTGGGAATTGAACCCCAGACCTCTCACACCTTAAGCGAGCGCGTAACCCCTGCACCACGGAGATGTTTAAGGAAGACATGCTGAATAAAATCAAATAATTCTTATTTTAGAATATCCATGCAGGGTTTGTAATCCTTATTAATTTCGATGTATTTTGTTCACGATATACCTGTTGTTTAACATTAATGTAAATAATTTAGTGACAATCTTCTCGACATGTATATATTCCACTACTTGATAGTCAGATTTATTTGTGTAATACGCTCTGAGGTATTCGGTAATCGACATAGCTAAAAATAGCATTTTCATTGATTAAAATCATATAAATCCGCGTGCATTTATTGACAATTATATAAGCCAACGCTACTTTTAAACTTTGAATGCGTTGTAATTTATTTGATACTTGTAACAAAATTAAAATATTTCTTTCTTATACATCGCTAGTTTTTAGCTGTTTTGAGAACTACATTGTATCTATTATATAAAACATGTGGACACAGAATCTAGTATAGCAATGTTTTTTTTTTTTTTATCTCATCATATTTATTTACTGTCTTTAAGAAATATAAAGGCGCTTGGTTTACCAAGTACCAAAAAATGCCCCATCTTATATATTGATAAAGATTAAAGGTGTATAGTACAAGGAGCGAAAAATTGAAAGTTGGATATTCGATTTAATGGATATATAGCAAGGTAGATGTGCTCTTCAAGATTGAAACACATTGTCTCACTTTGTCCATCAGGACATTTAGTTTTTGTAGACCGACCCTAAATTGTGGGCAATTCGATATTACGACCGGTCCCGATTTTTTGCCTATATAATTCAATGGTCGTAAGGCCCGAAATTACGACCGACCGGCGACTACGTTTTACGACCGCTTTTAAAGGTCCAAAATCTCACTTTACAATGCAAACGGGGTTCAATAAAACGACCACTAATTAACACTGCTCGCTAAGTTGTACATGTCGCCCATTTTATCTCCAATATACAAACAATTTTACAACACTTAACGACAACCGCCATGAAGGTGTGAACGATTTGTGGTACACGGTTAATATCAATTAACAGTTTGAAATTAAAAGTGTCTATAGATGAAATTATCAATTCAATTTAATTCAAATATCTTTATTCACCCAGGTATTAATAAAATACATAAGGGGTTTACAAAAATAATATTATACAATATATATGTTCCGGTTGTAAAGTCCTGAAAAGATAATGTAGTATTAATAGTCATTTAGTTATTATTAAACAGAAGTATAATTATATAAAAAAAATAATAATTTACCTTTTTTATGTTTTAAAGAAAGAAATGGGGGTTCAAGTGAGTATATATTAGCACCTTATATAACATAATACTTGGAAGTACACAATGCCTTATTGCACGCTCTAGTAATTTTATTTACTACGACGGTGTGTATGTGAATGAATGCCTAGTGCAAATCGTTCTTGTCGCGCAGTAATTCGGTTTAGACAACACATGTGTAACCTGGTCAATTCAATAAATATAATAAAATATTTCGCATGTTTCACAGGCAATTGGAATAATAATTCACCGGATTTATTAGGATTTACGCAATAAGGTACTGTCTTTACCCAGTAATAGTTAATATAATGTAATGTGTAATTCAGTAATGAGTAATTTTATAATGCATAAGTGCCGTCGAGGGTACGGGACCTCTTCGAAATTCTTTAATTTTCAAATTTGAAATGCTTTAACAAGATTGATTATGCAAGATCGACGTACTCACGGCGGGACTTATCTGACATGCATATCAAATGACACATTCAATACAATCATTTTTTCAACATTATTACAATAATAACATATAAATTTTTGTTTTCAATGACTATACTTTTAATGTCCGCGGTACTTACCTAACGCACATGCTTCAGCAATATTGATAAGAATTTACAGAGTATTTTAAGGTCATTTCCGACTGTATGTTGACAATTCGTTTAAAGTTAAGATCATTATTTTCGAGGCAGAAAGTTTGTAAAATGTTTTGTCTTTGTTCTTTGAATTTTTCGCATCGTAATGAATAGTGTTTGCTATTGCCAATAGCGTTTTCTGAACAAAGTACGCATCGCCTATTTTCTGGAGACGTCCCGTCCCAGCGTCCCGTTTCTTCTGGAAAGTGCGTGTTATTTGTACGAAATTTAAACATTATTTCGCGTTCATACTTTGGTAAACATATTAGATATTTTTCAATACTATGGGTTTCTTTGTAGACTGCATAAGCTCTACCCTTATTAGATGACTGGAGTTGTGTGTTCCATTCCTGATAATACTGGTCAATAAGGATCTGTTTTATAGAATTTCCTAAGTTTGGGCTATTTAGGGCAGGTTGAAGTAACCACACATCTGCTCTACCACTTGATTCAAGTATAGTTTTAATATGTCTCAGCCATTTAAAATCCTTTTCTGGTTGTTTAAGCATATATTGATAAATTTTGTGAGATAACTTTGAGACTTTCCCAGTAACTAACCTATTCCAGAACAAAATCATCCTATTTTTAATCATAATTGATATCGGTATTACTCCAGTCTCGCCGAATAACATATACTTAGGTGTTGATTTACGAGCACTAGTATTTTTTCTAAGAAACTCGCACTGAACTTTTTCAATAATTTCTAAAGATTCATAGCCAAAAATTTCTGATCCATACATAAGAATTGGGAGAACAGTATGGTCAAAAAGCTTAAGAATTAAATCAAATGGTAAACTTGAATTATTTACCTTTGTTAAAAGAAGGTATAGGCCCTTTTTTGCTTGTTGGACGATGTGTTTACGAGCTTGTAAAAAAGAACCATTACTAGAAAAAGTTATTCCGAGGTATAAATATTTTTCAGTTATTTCTAAATTTGATTCGCCTATATGAAATTGTAAATTTCTTACATTTCTTGCGCCGAATATCACTACCTTTGTTTTGTTTGTGTTTATATTTAAATGCCATTGTTCGCAGAATTGATTAAAGTGTAGAAGTGTATTTTGGAAATCAATTTTTGAATTGGATATAATCACCTTATCATCTGCATAGAGTAAAACTAGCAGTTTAGCCAATATTCAGCGTCGAGTGTATCTGTTAACTATTTCCCTACTGATCCGTGTGATTCTAAGTATTCATGTTAATCATTTAAAAAGATGGAAAAGAAAACCGGACTTAAAGTTGCACCCTGTCTGACGCCTTTATTTGAACAGGAACAATCAGAAAATTATCCTAAATGCGTTATTCTTGATTTTATATGTTGGTACATATTAAAAATGACATTAAATATTTTCCCATTTATATTCGTTTTGATTAGTTTTTGCCATAAACCTATTCTCCATACTTTATCAAATGCAGCAGAAAAATCGACATATGCGCAGAACAATTTCTGTTTCTTTTTCTTAAGAATTTCAATGAGAGCATGTAATGTGAAAATATGGTCTGAGCAACTGTAGTATTTTCTGAAACCAGCCTGGTTTTCATGAAGAGGGTTATTTGATTCTAAATATAACGTTATTCTATTGTTTAATACAGAGGTAAATAATTTTCCAAGTGTACTTAAAATTGTTATTGGGCGATAGCATTCCGGTTTCTTCGAATCGCCATTATGTTTATATATGGGTATAATATATCCTTCTAACCAAGAGTTAGGGATAAAACCAGTATCTAAAATTACATTGAAAAGTTTAGTGTAAATAGGCAATAAAATGTCTTGAGTGTATTTTACATACTCGTTAAAAATATTATCGGAGGGGCTTGCTGCCTTTCCATTATTCAAATTTTTAATACATTTTAAAATTTCGTCTGCGCAAATGTCCTTATTTAAAAAGTAGTTCGTGTTAGGATTGTTTACATATTCGCTCGGGTCGAATTCATTATTGTCAGTGTCCGAGTTATTTATATTCTTGAAATAATCGTAAAATTCCGATACAGTTGGTGACTCATGCGCTTTCGAGTCATGTTTAAGGCCGTTCAAAAATTTCCAATATTGCTTTGGGTTCTCAGTGCTCATTTTTCTTAGTTTTTTGGAGTTTTTGTTTTATTGTCATTTATATAATAATTCATAGTTCTTTTATACTGTTCACTAGCATTTTGTAATCTTGTTTTATTGTCATTATTTTTATTATTGTGGTAATTTGTTTTAGCGTCATGGTAGTCTTTTCTGGCCTTATGACATTTTGGTCCGAACCATGGTTTGTTTTTATCGTTATTTACATGAGTTTTATTAAAGTCTCGTTTTTGAAATGAAAGTTCTGCAGATTTAGAGAAAATATCCTGTAGCTGTCGAGTTACGTTTTCTATAGTATTTAAAGATTGCAGGTATGTGTTCAATTGATACTTAATAGATTCTATGTCATCTAAACAGAGTTTTGAGGCTGCCAACTTTGTTTATTATGAACTGTTTTATTATCACACTGTGCGTTTCTATGTGTGTTAAACAATTTAAACGAAAACTTTAAAGCACTGTGTCCGTCCGAAAATAGGCTATCAGTTTCTAGTATTTCGAAAGAGTTAACGTATTGAAACATTTCAGCTGTTACGATAACATAATCGATTAAAGACTTATCTCTGAATGTTAATTTACCAACGTTAACGTCAACGTCAAATCGGCCGTTCATTATAAATAGATTATTGTTTCGACACGTTTCAATAAGCCGGATACCATGTGCGTTAGTTCTCTTATCTTGAGAGGACCTAGCTAGTGGGATATTAAATTTTTCTAACAATGTGAATTTATCGAAATAGGCTTGAGATTCCTGATCGATATCAAATATATCGTTTTAAAAGGGGTCTGACGGCATGAAGTCAGGGAGCTGGGACGTTCTGGCATTGACATCGCTTGCAAGGCATACATATTTATATTGACTACACAAAGTTATTTCATTATCAAATTCGCCGACGCCATTTTCACGTGAATTTTCCGGTGGTAGGTAAATAGCACCTAATACTACGTGTTCATCGTAGTTAAACAACTGTTTATTAAGTTGGAGCCAACGAATATACTCGGAATTACTATCTAACATTTGGATAAGTTTTGAAAATTTGTTACGTACACATATATCTATTCCTCCTAATTTTCTTATATATAGATTTTCCGACCTGTGTTTTGACAAAAAAGTATAGCCATTGATATCAACTATGTCTGTATTGTATAATTTCGTTTCAAGAATTATAATGATATCATAACACAAAATCATCTCCAGAAATTCTGGATATTTTAATCTTCGCTTAAGGCCACTTACGTTTAAACTGAGAAATTTCAAGTCACCATAGCTTTCACTGATCCACCCGTGAACCTAGTCTCTTCCATCCGGGCTTTTGCAATTATCAATTGTATTGGTATTAACACTTGGCCATTGCTGAGAATCGAGAGTGTGATTTGGGCCATTTGGTGAATTATTGTTCCAAGGGCGAATGAAGTCACGTGTTCCCACACCATGTGGTGCTTTTTTAGTTCGTGGTGCGTCAGATGTTTGGTAGCGTCTCGGAGCCTGGTTGGTAGCACGTACAAAACGACGTTCACGTAATAGCGGCGGCGATCTTGATTTGCTGCGAGATTGTCTGTCAAAAGTTTTATGTGTTGGAGAATAATCACGGAATGGTTGTTGGCTATGAATATGAGTCGGTTGTGACTGATTACCTGGTTGATCACGTGATTTTGTAGCCTTACCGTCGGGAAATTTGGTGCCGATCGATCCTGGGTGCCCTGGACTGTCGTCTTTTTTAGTGAAATTGGAAAGTTCTTATTAATTTGTAGGCTATTGGTGGTGAAATTCGTGACCGGGCCATGATGGTTTTCCAGTCGGGGAAGCAGTCGTACACAACTTTTCCGTCGATAATTATTTTAGCAGGATATACGAGGCTCACTTTGTTATCTGGATATTGTTCCCGAAGCATTTTAACCCTTGGCCAAAGTATACGCCTGGCATCCACGATTTCTTTAGGGAAATGTCTGTTGATGATTTTCTTTGACCCGGCGAGCTTGTAGGCGTTAGCTAGAATGTTTTCAACATCCCCGTAATCACGGAAGTTAACGATTATGGGCCTTGTATATTCTTTGTCAAACGGCCCTACCCGATGGGCTCTAGTAATATATGGCACCTCTGATATTTCTTTGAGAAACTTTATAATTGTACTCTTGCAATTTTCATGTCGCGTTTCAGGAAAACCAGCGAATAATAAATTGTTTCGCCTACCTCTAGCATCTTGGTCAATGGATTTATAGTCAATTATTGTCTGTTTCTGCATGTAATTCTCGACATTTTGATCAATTTGACCTACTTTCGTCGATAAATTCAGACATGTATCGAGTTTCTTTTCAATCGATTGCATATATTGTTAACATTCTTGGTTATCCGCGAAAATCACCAAAAGTTTATCATCTGTATTCATATTTCTATATTCATATTCAATCACACTAGAACCAAGCTTTTTTTCTTTTTTGTGATTGTTTAACAGTGTTCCAACCCCCATGGGAGCTACTCTGACTTTCCAGGTTAAAAACTTCAGGTGAACTGTCATGGCCGTCGTCGTCATCGACGTGGCGGGGTCCTAGAGCTTCATATTGGTTTCTGTCAGCTAGCATTTCAATTGGCGGCAAGGGAAAGGGATTTACCTGACCACTTGAGGATACATTTTTTCAATGTCTCTGACCATTTTTAGTATAATTTGAAGCCATTCTAATAATAAATTTGATTTTTTTTAATCAGGATGTTTCAAAACCCGACTTTCACAAACCGGAAACGAAAGTCCGATGTGAGATCAGCGGTTTGTGATTAAAGGGAATGGGATTTAATTTGTCAATGCTCCTGTAAATTTATCATTTTGGATTGATGCGAATCGAGGAAAGACAACCGATGCGTTTACAACACACACTTTCGGATAGGTAGGTTTTTTCGTCTACGTTGAATCAAAATAGATACTTTAGAATTCGGAGTCAGAATTTTTACCGCTTTGCAAATTTAATAACAATTGTCTTTTGAAATAAAATTTAGAATCATATTGACCAAATGGATTCATGAAGTTTTAAATGGCAATCGAGATTTAAACAATTACAGATACGATTTAATTTTACTTAAAATAAAAAAAAACGTATTTATGGTTTTACTTTTAGATCCGAATAATCCTGAAACAAAAGGATGAGCATTTAGATGGGTGGGGGAAATAATGCATTCAACAAAAATGAGTATGCAAGAGGTCACCAGAACTCAACAACTGAACAACAATGATTAAAATGAGATGTTCTTGTGAAAACTGTTGAAAATAAAAATTGTCTTTTCGATGTCTTTTTAAGTTGTATAAAATGATGCATAAATGTGATAATTCAAATAAATAAAGCATCTTTTTGTTGAATAGAAATAATGTTAATTGGTTTATGTTATTCAAACAGCTATGTTTCAATGATCCCAATCGCTTATGATAACCTCCTACTCCAGAATACATATACTAGTATAAATAAGCATGGGTCTCCAAATTAAGACCGATAATAAGACCACTTTTACCAGGACCCTTAAGTGGTCTGGATAGCGACACTTTACTGTATATCCAAAGTGATTTTAGCTCAACACTCCTGATGTAGAGAGGAAAATGATATTTGCCGTAAAATACTAATTCATTTTGCAATGTTAGTAAATATTACATCTTGGAAATGCTTTGTGGCTTATGCTATATTTTCTTCTTATAGTATATAGACAGCAGAATAAACGTACAGTGCATTATGCGTACACGCGTATGCCAGAATCTGCTGACCAGTTAAACATGTTGTAGAAACTGTTGACCAGTAACAGTGAAAACAGCTGACCAATTAGATATAAAGAGAAATATGTAATTTTGACGTGTAATTCTTATTTATATTATAATAGCCCATTTCACCAGCCTTTCGTAAATTATCGGAAACATTCGTTGACACGCATCACGTGGGAGGTTAACTGCTAATATGTTTGACCAATGAAATACTGGTTCTCGAGTGTACATGTATTGTTTATATTTACGATAATGGCGGGTGATTCAGCGGCTGACGAGCGAGTGTTTATTGAATTAAAAAAATGCTTATTATTCTGGAAAACTCCCACAAACGTTCAGAAAATTTAAGTTATCTACAATTATTACTTATTTCTTACACACACATTCCGATTTTCGCTCAATTAGGGAAGTTTCATACGAGTTGTACACCAATGGACATGTTCGGGTAAGTACATGTATAATTCTGAGACAAAAAAAAATTAACTTTCATCCCGATTCATTTAAGATCTACATGTAGATGTGAAAAACAGTTTTAGATAGATGAAATAAACTCATTTTAAACCAATTACTAAATTATATTGATTTTTAAAGTAGAGCTATCGGGTTGAAAAACAATTTCTTTGAATTTTCTTTGCTTTGTTCCCGAAATGGTTCGTACCCGATGTTTTCGTAGCCTTCATTAATATTGTATATTGTTCAGATGGAGAGACATAGAGAATCAGCATTAGTCGCTTTAATTAAATTAATTATTTCACGTTGAAGTTTAAAAAAGGAGATGGATTTTCCCTCTTTTTTTAGAGAATACAAAAGAGTATGATTAATTTTTTTTTTCCTTCAGGAAATTTATGCTAGAGAAGATGCAAGAGCTGGAAAAGTTCTTATTAAAGCGGAGTGTCTTGCACACATGAGACAGAGAAAATATGACACCTTAATCATTCTGAACATGAAAGATGGGGACATAATACATACCAACTGTAGATGTGAGGATGGACAAGGTCCAGCATCAACATGCAAACATGTGGCAGCTTTATGTTATGCTTTGGAGGATTTTGTCAAAGTTTTCATTCTTCCTGAAGATGTACAGTCATGCACTGGTAATTGACACAGCTGTTTTATTGAGGCATTATATAAATTTTGCAATCCAAGACAGTTTGTGAAAAAAAAATCACATGGTTTCTATAGATAACACACTTAAAATACATTAGGTTAGAACTCTTGTATAATTATGTGTTTAAAAAAAGGTTTGTTACCTTAAAATTCTGTGTAAGCTCAACAATAATTATAATAATTGAATCTTAAGACACATTAATCAGTAATGTAGAAAAAATATGAAATGCTGAAATCTCAAAATGTTTGTTTATATATATATATATTTTAGAAAAACTTGAGACTTGGAACAAACCAAGAGATATCAAACTGCCTGCATCACCCCTGTATGATGTAGACTTTGAGCGAAAAAATTTCGGAAAAAGAAGAAAGGAAAGAAGAGAGCCCAGAGGAAGGAAGCCAGAATACTATCAACTACATCAAGTCTGTTAGAGTGATAAAAGTGCTGTTACAGAATTTCTGTCAGAAATGAACACGTGGTCAGCTGACAATGGAAAAAATTTGTTAATCAACACTGTGACTGACATTAGTGATCCTATTAAAACTACTGCATCAGTCAACCATTTGTATGTTTATATGTCGGCTTTTTATAAGTCTTTGGAGGATGTATGTTCTCAAGTCACTGTTCCTCTTCAAGAGTTGAAAAAATCTTTGAAAGTCTCTGAAGAGGAGCAGTCAATGATAGAGAAACATACTCTCCTTCAAAGCAGAGTTTCAGACTGGTACACCCTAAGAACGTACCGCATTACAGGTTCTGTGGTACACAAAATTTGTAATTACTATGTTTACAAAAGATCAAATCCTGAAAATATTGTAAAATCAATCATGCAGCCATCTTCTTTTACAAGTGCTGCAATGAGGCTCGGGCTGGAATTCGAACCAAACGTCATTGAAAGGTATGAGGCTATGAATAGGTCAAACAATATTCAAATTAAAAAACTTGGTCTTATTATTGACAAAGAGTATGGTTTCCTAGCTTCCTCTCCAGCCTCTGGCATAGTTCAAAATGGTCACTTGGTTGGATTGGTTGAAGTTAAAACAAAAATTTCTGATAAATGGAGTAAAAAAAGTATTGCAGACTGTGTCAAGGATTCCAGTTATCCTCTTAAATCTGTTGTAAACACTAATAACAGAAATCAAACAACTTTTAGTCTAAAATAAAACAATCCTTGGTATCATCAAATTCAGCTGCAACTTTTTTTGTTTGTAGGTCATTTGCTCAGTTTTGTGACCTTGCAATTTATCATGTTGAATGGCAAGATTTCTTTTGTTTAAGGATAAAGCCCAGTGAGGTATGGGTCAAAAAACATTTGCCAGAGCTAGAGCAGTTTTTTAATAATTTTATGGCTCCGCATATAATTGAAAAACACAATGTATCAGGATAAAATTGTGTTTATTTTTTGTTTACATGTACAATATTCAAAACAAAAAGTGTCAAATTTATACATGTATAAACAATTGTGATGAAGGTGGTCAAGTCTATTTGTAAAATCATACAATTTTTTTGTTTAACTTATATGTTACTTATGAAGAAGTAAGCTGAAATCAAATGGTTCAATTAAGTGTACATGCGACTTACACTTCAGTTTTGCGTGCAAAAATATATATAATAATCACAAAAAATTGAAGAAAATAGTATTGTTAAAGATAATAAAATAATCATAACATTTAATATAGCACAACTGTCTTCTTTTTATTATCATTTTACTATGGATTGTGTATTTAAATCATCTTACATCTTGTTACTGAACAGTGTCATACTTAGGCCAAATCATCTTCCTCATTTTGTTCTACTTCTGACTGAGTGGTTTGAACATTTCATACTAAAGGACCTAGGTTGGCTAAAAACCCACAAACAAAACTTAGCTCATTCATAATTGGTAAATAAAGTATTGGAATTTTCTTTTGTTTTAAAAATGCAAAATAGCTTAAGCGTGCATTAAAATTCTCAACTACAATTCTTGACCTTGCAATAAGTCTTCCAGATTCGCGGTCAGAGGCATCAAACTGTTTTAATTTTTCTGACAAAAAAGGCGGTCTTTACAACTGAATGTCCTTTCCTTGTATACAGTCTTTTATTAAAAATCCTTTGTCAACCATTAGTCCATCATGAGGCTTTAGTCTCATTGATAAGACACTTTAGGAAAATATTTCTTTATCAGAACTATTTCCTCCATACGCATCTGAACAATGAATCAGAGCACCATTTGAGGCTGTCGTGTACATAACTTTCACTGTGTGACAGTTTTTATAGTTACTAAATAGTTGCTTCCCAGGCAATGGAGCTCTCGGGACCTGGGTACTAAATTTCACACAGTCAGATATGGCAACTAAATTTGGAAAGTGTTGCTTTGTAGCAGTAGGCATGTGTTTCTGAACATTTTCATGAGAAGGCCAAATTTTGATAATTTTGAATTTTCTGTACATTCTTTTAATCCAGAATTTAAAAATTTCAGAAATACGCCCTGTGGAAATATGAAACTCAGAGGATAAAACAGAATCCACAGGGTTTCTTTTCAGTTTATACAAAACAAGCAGAAGTTGATTTTCTGTAGAAATGTGAGAAAATATTTTAGCTTGATCATCATTATGTGTTTGAATAGTGCATGTGTTATCTGCACATTTTGAAATTAGATATTTGTGAATAATTTCAAATAATTTGTAATTTTCAATACCAGTGATTTTTTTTAATTCTTTGTCACAAGTTTTCAACAATTCAATTTTCTCCATACATTTTCAGTTGCAAACACTGTCTGTGTGGGGACAGTTCTTTGACAAATACAATTTTTAGGAGGAACTGTCTGTACATCTTTAGAAAGTCTTATTTCAGTATTACACATGGTTGAGCGTCTAGACTTTGGAGTGATTTCAGTATACTTAGAAGCAGGTGGAGTTCTCTGAAGACCCTTTGTGCGTTGTTTCTTTTGTCCTTTAGGAGTAACCTGAGCCTCTGCTTCTCTAAACAATTTTCTTTTAGATGCACCTTTTTTTCAATATTTGTGGCTGTATATCACCAGGTTCTACTTCGGTAGCTATAAAAAAAATAAACAATGAATTTCAATAAATGAAATTAAACAAATCAAATAAATTAATAATAAGAAAAATATATGATTTTGTAATAGAATGTATGTTATACATGTAGTGGTGGGGTTTGGTTGACAAACACTCAATTTGGTTTATACAAATGTTTATTCTATCAAGAATAAAACCTGCAACAAATAAAATAACAATAAGACATCACATTACAGAACAAATATTTTACAAGACAAATACATTTCACAAAATACATAATACAGAATATTACACAACAATTCAAATTACAATAAAATCAATTTCACAAATAAATATATACAAATATACATACCAGGCTTGTAATAGAAGAAATCTAATGAAATAATAGAAATCAGAATCAAGTATTTCTATAAAGAAATTACTGAAAGTTAAATATATTTTAAAGTTGTTATCACTTCGAAAGCGAGACAAGGAGTGGTCAGTTACCAAGAAAATATTATATTCCAGAACCAAATCATCTAAAAATAACTTGCATACCAAAACCAATCATCCATCACTAAACTTGCAAAACCAGTTCAATCACCCATAACAAAAGGAACAAAGACAAACATGAACACATAACACCACAAAAGATTTGGTTGGCATTTAAGGGAAATAACTACCGTATTTATTATAAAAAGTGAACTTGGATAAATTTAACCTTATCTACACACTCCCCCCTCTAGTTAAAAATGACACCGGCATTTTCTTAAACAATTATTAATGAAACCTGGATTTATGAAAAAAATAACATTATGGTCAATTCGAAAAACAAAAATGCAATACACTGTATATTCATAATTATGACGACATAAATATATCATATTATTTAAGATATACTGCCCTCCTATAACTATTTTGCAATAGTTAAACAGTAAAATATAAA